CTCCCTCTGCTCCTCCTCCCTCTGCTCCTCTCCATACTCCCTCTGCTCCTCCTCCCTCTGCTCCTCCTCTCCTGCTTACCCCAGCTTCTCTCCTCCCCTCTTTCCTGCTCCTTTCTTCCCCTCTTCCCATCTCTCTTCTCCCTCCTCCCCTTTTCCTCCCTTCCCCTCTCGTCCCCCTCCCCATCTCCTCTCTCTGGGCTCTGAGTCATGGGAAGCTCTTAAAGGTGGCACTTGGAGGAGACTGGGGTCTCCAGCCCCAAGTCCAGGGTCTAAGTCCTGGTCAGCCCTGGGGCTTACCCCTGCCTTTGTGACGCGGTTCAGGACGACAGCACTGGGTGAGGTGGGAGTGTTGCTGAGTTCCCTGTGAGCTGTGTCCAAAATGTGGCCAAGGGCCTTTGTGGCCACGTGAGGTCAGGGCGGGTGACCGGAGGCCCAGCAGCCTGGGACTTGGAGACTTCCTTGGACCCGGCTGAGTCCGGACAAGAGACGATGGAGGAGGAGTGGGGTGTGGGCAGTGAGCTTGGTGTCAGCACCCAGAGGCAGCACACTCACCAACCAGCTCAGTCCCAGCGGCCTGACCCTCAGCCCAGGTCTGCTGCTTGAGCCCCACCTGGAGCGCAGTCCTGAGGGGGGGCGGGGCTTGAAGAGCTAACTGGTTGTGGAGACACACGGGGGGGCCTGGCGGCCCGAGGACATCCTCCTTGCAGCCCACTTTCCTCAGACCCAGGGACCTAGTCTTAGGGAGCCTTACAGCAGTCCTGGGCTGAAGCCGGTGTGCACACACAGCGTCCACAGCCTGGCTCGGGCCTGTACCTAGCTCAGAGGACCTGGACCTCACCACCTCTCTGCAGAGCACCCACCCCCACCCCTGGGCCTGCTCTGCTCGCTGCGCACACTCTGGGTGGGGGGTGATTTGTGGGAAGTTCCCCTCACCTCACCCCACTCCAAGTAGGGTGACAGGAGGCCTAATCCCAAAGCTGTTCAAGGAAGCATAGAGTCTCACCCTGGCCGAAGAGGCACGTCCTGTGCTCAGTGGACATTGCTTAGCTGCTGGGTCACTGAGCTGGGTCTCGGGCAGCTCCTTGCACAGGACATTGGCAGAAACAGTGTCTGTGATGGAAGAGATGGCCCCCAGGCCCGTACCTCAGCCTGCGCTCCTCCCTCGGCAGCCGCACACGGAGTACAGTGGACTCCTGGTCCCTAACTCTCCCCTCCTGAGAGCTTCTCAGCTCCGCCCCCCACAGCCAGGTTGTGTCAGAACTCCTAGGGCAGGGGCTCCCTGCCTGCTCAGCCCAGAAACAGCTTCTGGGGTGCTCTGAGCCTGCACAGCTATGCCTGCAACCCTTCCCCTGAAGCAAGAGAGTCTCTCACCTGCTCCTCCACCCAAGCCATCGGCCCTGTATGTGATGGGTCTCCTACAGATGGGGAAACTGAGGCTTCAAGCCGTACACTGCCCCAGTCAGTGAGAGAGCCTGAGGTGGGCCAGGGCCTCTGGGCCAGTGCACATCACTGTAGCCACGCTGGCCCTGGGTCAGGACATGGAGTCGATTTATAGGGGAGCTGCTGGGGCCCCACTATTGTCTATGGTGCCTCCCCAAGCACATCCCCTCGTGTCCCAATTTTCTGGAGAGGATTTCTCGGGAGCCCCATTTGCAGCCAGAAGGTGTGGCAAAGGGGGGGCCGGTGACATAAAGAGACAGAGTGCCCCTTCAGGGACCTGGAGACTTGGGCCTTATCAGTCCTTGTCCAGGTGGGAGGAGCCTGTGGACCGAGGTGACCCTACCTGGTCTTGCACAAAGGCCTTAGCAGTGCCACATGTGTCTCCGCCAGGCCCACCTGACCAACAGCTCCTGATACCTCTGACCTCCAGGAGAGGCAAGGGCAAGCACACACCTGTACACATATGCATGCCTTCTCTCCTCCTCATATCCCACAGGCTATCCAGCCACTTGTGTTTTCACTTACTGCCCTCTGGCGGCTGGACCAGGGTGTGCAGGAAGACTGGACACTGGGGCACTGGGGGACCAGGCTGGGGATGCAGCTACTTGGCCCACAGACTCTGCCAGCTGCCTGCCACGCACGCAGCTCTCTGGGTCAGCTGATGGTGGATGGTTCCAGCACATAAGCCTGGAAACGGCTGTGCTTTCTGGACCGGCACTGGGGACACAGGGGGTGGCCCCTGCTCCAGACTGTCCCACTGTTCCTAGAGCAGCCACTGTCCACCCAGCCAGCCAGGCCCCCAATGAGCTGCCGCCCCTCTGCCACCCCACCTCCTGCCTCCAGAGCTCTGTCTCTCCCTGATCTCTTCTCGTGGGTCCACTGGCAGCGGACTGAGAGAGGGAGGGGGCTGGAGTCGGGGTCCGAGGGCATTTCCCCCCTCCATGCCTGTGAACTGAAGGGTTCCCTTTCTCCCCTGGGGGAAGTCGGCTCAGTCCAGTCCCTCCAGCTCCAGCTCCAGTGCAGACTCCAGTTCCGACTCGGACTTTGAACCGTCCCAGAACCACAGTCAAGGTGGGTGCCCGAGGGCTGGGGTGCTGGTTGTCAGAGGGGCTGCAGCCATCCTGCAGTGGACAGTCTGTCAGGGCTCAGTTGGGGTACTCCGTGTCTGGAAGCTGGATGAGGTGCTGGTGCCTGTGGTGGATGGGGTTGGGAGCCACTCCCCCCTCAGTGGCCGCCATGCAGACCACCACAGTAGGTTGCCTTTGCATGTAGGCAGGGGTGTGGCTGCCCACCAGTCCCTGCCCTCAGCTATTTTCCTCACGGTGGGGGAGGGCTCAGCCTGCCCCAGAATGGGGAAGGGGCTCAGGTGGTGGTGGGAGCCCATGAGGACCTCTGCAGACTGGGAGGTTTATCGTCCCAAGAATGGAACGAGCCTCCTCCCCGACAGCCTGAAGTCCTTTTGGGGGGTGGGCTCAGGGTGTGCATGTTGGGGGGGCCTGGGAATGTGCTGCGCAGTCGCCAAAGGGACTGGGGGATGGGGTACAGGAAGCCCACACGCCCTCCAAGTGCTCTTATCTGGGGAGGGAGGGAGGGAACCTGCTGGAGCCCGATCACGTGACTAAGGTAATTGAGGGCTTTGTGTCCCTCTGTTGCTGTGGTAACGAGGATATAAACCAAGATGCCGTCGTAGGGGACTGGGACTGCTGCCTCTGGAGAAAGGGGAGGACAGTGGGCTGGGAGACGCAGATGGGACCACCGAAGGGGTGGGCAGGCGGGACAGAGGGCTCTCCCTAGTCAGGGCTTCGATACTGGCTCTGTCTGAAGGCTGCCCATCAGGGTGGGAACCCCCATCTCAGCTTGGAGAGCAGAGGAGGGTCCCCGTCACCTCTGGTAATGGAGGCGCCTCTCGGCCCTGCTGCAGGCCCGGGCCCCGTGGCTGGGGGTCAGGGGCAAGAAGGTAGGGGATGGGAGAGGCCTGGGCCTAGAAGTGGGGGGGCCTGGGCCTAGAAGTGGGGTGGCCCGGGCCTCGAAGCGGGAGGTCTGTGCCTTCAGAGCTCCCCCCACTCCCTCCATCTCAGGCCCCCTGCGCTCCATGGTGGAGGGCCTGCAGTCCGAGGAATCTGACGAGGACGACTCTTCTTCAGGCGAGGAGGCGACTGGCAAAACAGACCCGGGCCGGGACTCCAGGTGCTTCAGAAAGTCGGATTGGGGGGCTTGCAGCGTGATGTCACACCCGGTGCAGGCACTCAGGGCTCAGCTGGCTAGAGGCCCTCAGGAGAACAGCGCAGGGTCAGGCAGGGTTGGGCGGGCCAGTGCCCTCCTGGCTTCTCCCACATAGGGGCCCATTGTTCACCATTGTCATTGGATGGTACTGACAGTTTGGCAGGGAGATGTGGGAATGTTCAGAGCAGTAGCTCATCATAGGAGGAGGAGTGAGGGAGCGGGCAGGACCAGTGGCCAGTGGACCGGTACTGGCCTATAGGTTGGAAAGGAGGAAGGTCCTACTGCTCTGGAATGGGTGGTCCCCAACTCCTCTGTGCACCAGTGCCACCCAGCCCCAGGTGGGAGTGACCCCACCACATCTCTCTCCTGGGAGAGACATGATTGAGGCTGAGGCAGTTGGTGTGGATGGTCCCTCACTAGTGTCGCTCCCATCCAACCCTAACAGCTGAGCATGGTGGGTGGCAGCAGTGGGGGGTGGACCCCCAGTGCAGGGCAGGTCCTCCAGAGGTGTCCTCTCCATGGGTGTGGATGTGTATTGAGCCAGGAGACATGTCTCCTGGGCCCTTTCGGGAGGGTGGAAGCATCATAGCACCCACCTGTGCCCATCTCGGGGGATGAACTCGGGGGCTTGAGCTCTCTTGTCCCAAAGAGAGTGGGGGTCCCTGAAGCTGACCTCTCTGGCTGGAGAAGTTTGTCCAGAGAGCTGTAGCACTGGGGAGGGAGGAGGAAAAGGAAGCACGCAGAAGGCGGGTGGACCCAGGCTCAACAAGATGCAGTGGGTGATGCTGGGGGGCCAGGGAAACCTAGGAAGGGAGCGCTTTCAGACTCTGCCCTCCACCCCCATCCAGTAACTGCTGGCTCCTCTTCAGTCTTAGTGGGGGAGAGGCGGCAACGGGGACTTGCCTAGCGTCTGCCAGAGTCTCTGAGTTGGATGCCCCAAGCCTATGCCATTGGACTTGGACCTGAGCCTGTCCTTAGATCCCACCAGGCGGAGCTGCTTAGAACTCAGGCCCCACACACAGGGTCGACTTATTGCGTTGGAAGGGCCGGATACTCAGCAACCACAGACCTAGGGGGCCTTGGGGGAGGGGACCGCTGGGCCTGTATGGTCTGAGCCCAGTTGAGGGGGCATGTGTGGGCCAGGGCCTGACTGTCCGTGTCCCGTGTCCAGACTGAGCTTCAGTGACAGTGAGAGCGACAACAGTGCTGACTCCTGCCTGCCCAGCCGGGAGCCCCCACCCCCCCAGAAGCCACCCCCACCCAACAGCAAGGTGAGCCAGGGCCCCACGGGCTGCTGTTCCGAATGGGAGTGAAGACCCCTGGGGGAGGGGTGGGCCTGGGGACTAGGACTCAGAGGCATGGGGGCTTCCTCCCCGCAGGGCTCAGGCCGGAGGAGCCCCGAGACTTGCAGCAAGCCGGAGAAGATCCTCAAGAAGGGGACCTACGACAAGGTAGCCGCACGGGAGGGGGAGGCGGGGCCCCGGAGACCACAGTCCCTCAGGTGGGGTGGACCTGGGCCCTGCCTCACTGACGCTGCCCTGTGCGCAGGCCTACACCGACGAGCTAGTGGAGCTGCACCGGAGACTCATGGCCCTGCGGGAGCGCAACGTTCTGCAGCAGGTACGCATGCTGGGGCTCGGCCAGGGATGGGGCCTGGCCCGAGCGGCCTTCCCACGCTTCAGTCTCACTCCATTGCCCGCCTTCCAGATCGTGAACCTGATCGAGGAGACCGGCCACTTCAACGTCACCAACACCACCTTTGACTTCGACCTCTTCTCCCTGGACGAGACCACCGTGCGCAAGCTGCAGAGCTACTTGGAGGCCGTGGCTACATGACCCGGGCCCGAGCCTGCGTCGGGGCCCACCTCCCTTCCTCTCTCTCCACGCACCCGCCCGCAGTGCTGCCTTAGTGACCGCTCTGTCCTCGGCCTGCACCGCCAGCTGCACTTTCTTCGGTGGTATCCGGCCCGCCCTCCCCACCGCTCCCCATGGGGGCCTCCCCCGGAGAGGGGTCTGCGTTGAAGGTGGTGCTGGGTCACTCTTGCAAAGTGGAAGGGATGCGACCAACTGCGGGCTCTTCATCCCATCTCGGGACCAGCCCCCGGGTGTGGCCCAGCTCCACAGTGGGGACGCGGTCCATCCCAGGCAGCCCACTCAGGCGGGGGACATGCTGGCACGAGGACCTCTGAGGGCTCTGCTGCAGCCCCCCTTCCTGCCGGCCCCAGGCTGCGCTGTATAGCCCTATCTATGTTATATATATTTGTGTCCACCGCGCGGGTCTGACCGTCGGTCAGGTGTGTGTCTCGGGCAGCAGTGGGTGGGGGGTGGACAAGGTTGGACATGTAGGTTACGGTGTCTCGACTGGTCTGTGGTGGCCGGAGCCGTGGAATACACCTCTGGGGCACCCATCCTGTGGCCTCCAGGGTGGCAGATGAACACTACCAACGGGGCGCTCGTCCTCGGGGAACCCCGGGCTAGTCAGACAGACCCTTGGTCCCCAGCCATCTGCATTGGCGCCCCAGGGCTCGTGCCACCTCCTCCTCCCTCAGGCCTCCTCCTTTTGTTGATCAAGTCTTCGAACTTTGAAACAATGAGCTTTTGCCAAATATGACAGGAAAGTGTGGAGCTTTTCAGGGAGCGTCAGGATTTGGTCAAGGCCCAAGTGTGGCTCTGGCTGCAGCAGGCGGCCTCCCCCCTGAGGCTCATACTGGCCCGGGGTTGGACCGGGCTAGGGCTCCTCCCCGCCACCTCCCTCTGCACCTGCCCGTGCCCTGTTTTAGCCAGGAGTGAGAAGTGGGAGAGGCCAGGGTTCAGGGACACGCCTCTCTCTAGCCCCTTGTCTGATGTTAGGAATCCAGGCATTGGCGGTGGGGGGGGGGGTGGCTCCAGGAGGGACTCCTGTGTCTCCACATTCCCTGGTCCTCGCCGCTCTGCGTCCCATGTCGGGAAGACTGTGGTCGCTCCTGTGGGCGAGTCGTGCCTCCCTGACTGCCCCTGTGTCCCGTTCCGAGAACTTCCACAGGAAGCTGGGTAATTCCCACTCTGTCTTCCTCCTGACCCCACAGCCTTCAGGCCAGCAATACTCCCGAGTGGGGGCCTTTCTTCTCTAACAACTCTCCAAGACGTTGGACAGCTGTGCTGGCCTATTGTGGTGGTCATCAGTGCCCCCCAGGAAAGGCCTCCAACATGCTGAGCTCCAGGCAGCAGCAACCTGGGAAGCCCTCTGCCTCACAGGATGGTGGCCAGCCAGCCGACCTGCCCTACCTGCTGGTTCCAGGGCCCATTTCTCAGTTACCTCCTTGGCCAGAGAGCTCCCACCGCCATCCGCCAGAGCAGCTCTGTGATGGGCTGATGGACGGCCAGCCCAGTGGGTCCCACCTGCAGCATGCCCAGCTGCTCCCACTCCACCCTGGGCCCAAGAGGGCTCCGGGGACACTTGCATAGGAAGGGGCTGGCACTTTGTAATTGCCACGTGTTTTGTGTTAAGCCTCCCGTCCCCAGTGCAAATCCCTGTGTTTTGCTCTCCCGAACAAACATAACAAACTTAAAATCAACGCCTGAAAGCAAAAGGTATTGAATACCTTCTTCCTCTCTCCCCAGAAGGGTTTTTTTTAATCAAAGAATGTCTCCCCAGGAGTTGGGATGTCCTCGGGCCGAGACCAACTCCTGAATCAAAGGAATAAGGAGAATTGTGTTTGTAATAAGTCAGGATTGATTCTGTCCTGGATTTTAAACTTTTTTTTTGTTAACTTGTGAAATTATGGAGGAGTTTTATAGAAAAAATTGAAATAAAAGTCCAATGGAAAAGTCAGCCATGTAGTTGTGTGTGTCTGCCAGGTTTCTCCTGGGTAGCATTGTGGGCAGGGCCACCCATTGGGGGTGTGACCCCTTCTCCCAATCCAGAGATTTCTAACTCATTGATGAGGAGATTGGTGACTAGGCCTGATGTGGCCCTAGCAACACGGATTGGGATTGTGGACGAAGTTGGCATCCTGGAGGGATAGATCCTCCAGAAATCCAAGAGAGACAAGAAGGCAGAGGATTCATTGGTCCTGGGCCCAGCTTTCTGTGCTGTGCCCTCTACTGGGAAGCCGGCAGCAGCCCTGTGAGAGTGGAAAAGCAAAGCCGATATTCTAAGATGGGTGGGTGGAGGGGAGACGGAAGGATGGATGAGTGGGTGAATGGACGATGGATAGGCAAGCTGGTGGATGGATGGGGGCTAGGTAAGTGAATAGAAAGACGGGGGAGGTGAGTGGATGGATGGGTGAATGAACAGTGGGCTGGGTGCGTACATGGATGAACAAATGGATGGGTAGGTTGGTGTTCGATGGATAGTTAAGTGAATGGATAGGCGTGAGTGAAATGGTAGCTACATGGACAGATCAGTGGGTGGTTGAGTGGTAGGGAGATGGAAAAGAAATTTGGGTGAGGACACCCTTGCCAGGTGTCAGTGGTGGGATACTGCTGTGGACTGAGCAGGAGAGCTGAGTGAACCCTGAGGACACAAAGCTCTCGTAGGCCCTGGATGAGCAGATCTCTGCACCGGGCTCCAACCCCACCCTCAGAAGCAGGCATTCCATAATCATGGCACAGGTCAGCACCCTCTGGCCACCCCACACACTGAGGCAGCTACTGGGGCACTTGGGCATATCTTCAGAAGGTTACTTACTGTCCAATGCCAGGGCTTTCCTGCCCCAACGTCTTTCTTCCCAGACACAGGGCTGTAGGTCTTTGGGAATAGTTTCTAATGAACTCCGAAAAGTAGGGATATAGACTGAAAGGGTCTAGGATAGTCCTTTGCAGTCCCCAGACTCCATAAGCACAGTTGGAGTATTTATATGTAGTAATATAGGGTGGCAGTGTAGGATAAGCACTGGACTGCTAACCTTCAGGTTGATGGTTCAAACCCACCAGCAGCCCCTTGGAAACCCTATACAGGGTCACTATGTGTTGGAACCAACTTGACGGCACTTAATATAGTTAGGTGAGGTTCTGGTGGTGCTGTAGGATAAGCACTGGACTGCTAACCACAAGGTCAGCAGTTTGAGCCCACCAGCTGCTCTGTGGGGGAAAGATGGGGCTTTCTGCTTCTGTGAAGATTTACAGCCTCGGAAACCCTGTACAGTACTTAACAATAGCAGAGCGAATCCTTGACCATCCTTCCCAATCACGGGTCTTGCTCAGGTTCATTGTTCCTGCCACTTTGGGTTTTGAGTGCCTTCTAACGTGGGAGGGAGGTCTGGTGGTGCTCTGGGTTAAGCATTGGGCTGCTAACCTTCAGGTTGTTGGTGCAAACCCACCAGCCACTCCTTGGGAGAAAGATAAGACAGCCACCACTCCCGTAAAAATGTGGGTTTCCCTCCCCACCCCCAACCTGAGGGAATCTTACAACGTCCTCTGTAGGAGGCCTATGCCCCTCACCCTCAACACTGCTGGCACAGAGCCCGGATCTTTCTCTGTGGTAGGGATCGTCCTAGACCCTGAAGGGTGTTGAGTGGTACCTCTGGCCTCCACCCTCTCGATGCCAGTGTTACCCCAGTTGTGATACAAACATCTACCCAATCAAACCAGTTACATCAGAGTAGAACTGCATGCTCCTGGGGGTTCAACGACCCTGTTCGCAGAACCACCCCTCCACACACCCAGCACCTCCCACCCCACCCCACCCCCTGCAGTCCCACTGAGAGCTATGACTTTAGCGAACCCATTTTATTACTTTTCAATGTACATTTCAAACTCTTGCCCTGAGAGTGGCCCCTCACCCGCAGCAATGCCCCGCGCTGCGAGCGCGGTTCCAGTGAGGTCCACTAGGGGGCGAGGGAGGGCTGGGATCCGGAGGCTCCCAGCCGACCAGATTCCAAGGGTGCCCGGCAGCCGCTAGTCCTTTTTGTTCCCCTCAGTGTACAAGCTCTGAATTTCCGTCTGGTATATTTTGGCCACGACCGCCCGCTTTAGCTTTGTGGTTGCTCCTGGAACGGAAACAAGTCTGAGGTGGGCTTCCCTCTGCTCTTCACAGGACCCCCAAGGGGATTAGCACCGCTGTCCACCAGCCAGCAAGGGGCGGAGGGCACAGCCAGTGTCCAGGACACAGTGTCAGGGGACTTAACACGTTTGGCTGAAGAAACAGCGGAACAGGACTGGGTCACCTTACGCCGACCTGAAGAGCATATGGTGCCCCAGTCCTGAAAAAAGTTCTGTTTCTCCACAGTTCACCGCTGTTGCAGCCAACCCAATCGTCCATGAGGGCCAGGAGCCAAGGAGACGCTGCTTAACCTCACCGCTGCCGGGGGACCCACGGACCACCGAGACAAACCAGGTGCCCTGGATTCCGACTCATGACGACCATACGTGTGTCAGAGCAGAACTCTGCTCCACTGGGTGTTCATGGCTGATCTTTCAGAAGCACATCACCAGCCTTTTCTCCCAGAGACTCTTCTGGGTAGATTTGAACCACTGACCTTACCATTAGCAGCCAAGAACGCAACCATTTTTCCCTAACAGGGGACATCACTCCCCATACTCAGGCTGGGGCAAAATGCATTTTAACAAGCAGATGTGAGCGGCCCTTGGCCCACACTAGGAAAAGCTGGTCTGAAGGGTGAGTTCTTAGCCTGCCCTTTGACACAGTAGTGGACTCCAACTGCCCATACGGGTGGGTGGGTGGGGGAGATGCACCCAAGAAGGGAGTACCGTTGAGTTACCCTGGACTTGGGTCAACCTCACATATGTCAGAGTAGAACTGTGCTCCCTATAGTGTTCAGTGGCTGATTTTTCAGCAGGCATTTCTTCCAAGGTGCTTCTGGGTGGACTCGAACCTACAACCTTTCAGTTAGCAGCCCAGCGTTAATCAGTTGTGTTACCTAAGAACTCCTTGGCATCCTGTAGCCAAGACTTCAGACATGGTCTGGTGACCCATACATAGCCCAGTCACTGAAGCTACACTGAGGCAGGGGTCGTCCTCCCCGGACTCCATCACGTGTACCACTTACTCACCGAGCTCCCCACCAGCCACTGAGAAGTCATTGTCTAGGATTTTCCACTTGATGATCTTTGCACTCTCCTCAGTGGTCCGGGCGTTGGTGGTGTCGATGGCCTGATCGATGAACTTGGTGATGATGGGGTCACGATTATACAGGACATCCGTCAGCCTGGTGGACGAACTCTTGAGACGCCGGCAGAACATGACAGCTTCGCTGGTCAGGGCGTTCCAGGGTTCCCCTGACTCTGGGCTAACTTGGCACTGTGGGACAGGGATGAAGGCTCAGGCTGCTATCCACACCCTGAGCCCAGCACACCACGAAGGGGTCTTTGGTCACCATTGTTATTCATTTGCTCAGTACTGTCTCTGGGATGTTGAGAGAGAGAGAGAGTGTGTGTGTGTGTGTGTGTGTGTGTGTTTAAATCCCAGCCACTTGTCAGCGATCTGACTCCAACTCACTGAGACCCCGTAGGTCTCAGAGTGGGATTATACTCCACAGTGTTTTCAGTGGCTGACTTTTAAGACAGAGATCACCAGGCCTTCGGAGGCACCTTGGAGTGAACTCAAACCCTCCCACCCCCTCCATCTCTCAGCAGCCGAGCATGGTCACTGTTTGCAGCAACCAAGGACTCTGAGATGTTTTTCTTGTATGCCTGTCCCTTCCCCACAAAGGTCACATCTCTGGGGTCCCAAGAACCCCAAGAACCAGGGAGTGGACTTGAAACAGGCAGACTGGGATGGACAAATTGCGTCTCCTCTGCAAGCCCCCCTTTCTACAGTACATCCACAGAGCAATACTCCAGCCCCATCTGAGCGCTTGCTCACTCGCATCCCAGGTTGTTGTGAGGACCAAAGATAGCTTACCTTGAGCGTGAACAAAGCACACAGGTACGGGGCGTCCTGGCCCACTACCATGACGTAGCGGACGATGGGGATCAGCTTCTTCAGCTGTTCCTCGATGGGTACCGGATTGACCTTCTCGCCTGATTTTAGGGTGATGATGTCTGTGTGGAAAAGAAGGAAGGCTTGGTCTCTGAGATGCCTCATCCAGTGGGGGACCGTCCCCCCTCCTCACCTTGGACACTTCCTGTGAGGAACAGGAATTTGCTGTGATCCTGGAAGCCCAGGTCCCCTGTGTACAGCCAGCCAGAGGCATCCACCTTCTCTTTGGTGCTGGCCTGGTCATTGAGGTAGCCCATGAAGATGTGCCGGCCCCAGACGTGGATGGCCCCAACACCTTGTTCGTTCTCTTCATGCACCTTGGTTCGAGTGCCGGGCAGCCCCTTCCCACAGCTGGGGGGCAGTAGGCAGGGAGGGGTGTCACAAGAAGCCAGACTTGCCTATGCCATGAACTTGGGGTCCCCAAGAGCCCTCCACTACTAGGGTGCTGGGTGGAGGAGGGAGGGTCCCGCAGTTCCTGACCCACTCACCTCCCTTGTCCCGTTGTTCATGCAACCACCCAGATTCTGAGTCTCTGTTGACTCAGCTCCTAGGGCCCCACTTGTGGGGGCAAGGGGAGGTGACCTGTGGGCCAGGGGTCTCTCCAGCAGTCTGGAGAGGGGGCCTTCTCTAATGCAGCAAGTCTCTGATCTCTCCAACTCAGAGCCAAGCTCACAGAGGATGTGGGTGATCCCACCCAGCTTCTGGACTCTAGAGCCCACAGGTGAGAAGAGGACAAGACATAGGGCTGCTCAAGGCATTATTTGGATGGAAGGAAGGCTTTTGGGCAGAGGAGAGAGTGAGAGACCCCCCAAGCCAAAACAAAACCCACCGTGCTCAAGTCAATTCTGACTCCCAGCAGCCCTCTAGGGCGGAGTAGAATTGCTCCATTGGGCTTCAGAGGCCACCCATCATTGTGGACCCAGACTGCCCACCTTTCTCCCAAGAAGCAGCTGGTGGGTTCAAACCACCAACCTTGCAGCGATCCAATCTCAAAACCCACTACGCCACCAGGGCTCTTTTGAGGGACCCCAGTGTCCTGTTTATTTCCTGGCGAGCCAGGCAATGGGGTTCTTAACCACGCTGAGCCCAAGGGTCCTCTTGGGGCTCCTGGACACCCATCCCTGGACTGCTTTCTTCCCAGGAGGATCTGGGGGAAGAGCCAACACCCAGGACACACTCTGAAAGGGCAGCAAGGAAGCCAGTTTCCATCTCCAACACCTATCACAATGCAACTCCTCCGTGTGTGCTCAAATGTTTTCCCAAAGAACGAGCAAGTCGCTGTCCGACTGAATCAATGAACGGGGACAGACTCTGTGGGACACCCATATTTGCTTTCACATATGTTGGTCCTAACTTGATAATTGCGGTCGAGTCGGCTCCAACTCGTGACAACCCAAAACACTGCCATTCTTCCGATCGCTGGTCCACTAGAGTCCATGGACGACCACTGTGTATTCTGACTGCCCGCCAATCTAACGGGACTCTTCTGTCAACACTCTGTGAGACAATGTTTGGTTATGATGCCGATGTTTGGAAGCAGATTGCCAGACCTTTCTTCCTAGTCTTTCTTAGTCTGGAAGCTCCACTGAAACTTGTCCACCATGGGTGACCCTGCTAGTATTTGAAATCCCGGTGACAAAGCTCCCAGTCTCACAGCAACACACAAGCCATCGAAATATGATAAACTGACGGAACAGAGGTGGGGGCTGGAAGAATGATCCCACTTACCCTTGACTTACTTATCTATAGTGGTATTGCATGGACTTACATTGTTGTTGTTGTTAAGTGCCATAGAGTTGGTTCTGACCCATAGCGACCCTGCATAGGGTTTCTGAGGCTATAAATCTTTACAGGAGCAGAAAGCCTCATCTTTCTCCCGTGGAGCAACTGGCAGTTTCGAACTGCTGACCTTGAGGTTTGCAGCCCGATTCGTAACCACTACGCTACCAGAGCTCCTTATGGACTTACATATCCTGGGGTTCCCACTCTGACCTCAGACCTCCACACACCATCTCCAGCCAGTGGGTGGAGCTTAACCCTGCTGCTGACTCCAAGCCCTTCCTTTAGTCCCCACACCTGTCCCCATGTCTGTTGGGCATCTCTGGGCTCTGAGTGTGGAAGTGCTTTGTGTTCAGCTGGGAAGTGACATGCCGTGTGATATTGAAAGGAAGCGGGCTGAGGGACAGTCCCTCATCTGCTTCCTTTCCCTCTGCAAACTCCCGCTTCCATGTGACAGGGAATGTATGTGGTGGTGGTGGTGCCTGAACTCAACCAGTGGTGTGGCAGCTGGCCTCCAAGATGGCGCCCAAAGGCCTAGGATCCTCGTTCTTGTGTAGATACTTCCAGGGTTGACTCAGGTGGCCAGTTAAATAGGGTGGTCATAATAGGATTTTACCCAGGAGTCCTGGAGTGGCGCTGCTGGTTATTGTGTTGGAGTGCACTTGAACCGTGAGGTCGGCGGTTCAAACTCACCAGCTGCTCCTCAGAAATCCTATACAGGATCACTATGGGTCAGAACCGACTCTATGGCACTTAACAACAAGAGGACTGCCAAAGCAAATATGCCCAATTAAATTTGAATTTCAGGTAAAAACCAAGTTTTTAATGATAAGTGCAGCCCAAATATCACATGGGATATACTTATGTTAAAAAGTGATTTTTTAAAAATGTATATCTATATATTTTACATGTGTTGCTTGAAATTCCAATTTAACCAGGCATCCGCTATTTTAATTTGCTAAATTTGGCAACCCTAGGCAACACTGTGGCTTCCACTTGCTATGTCTTGAACCCTAAGCTGTCCTGTGGAGGGTTCAGGGAGCAAAGAACCAAAGCCACCTGACAACAGACAGCGGGGAGCTGAGACCTCCTGCCAACAGCCACAAGGGGGAGCCACCTTAGAAGAGGTCCCTTCTGCCCCAGTCCAGGCTTCAGTCCATGTGACTGTGTCACCCTGGGAGACCTCCAGCCAGATACACACAGGTAAATCTGTTCCTGAATTTGGACCCATAGAAACTGATATAGTGTCTCCCACAGCAATTGTATCTACCTGGTTGTCTCACTAGAAACCAAGGTGTCCAAAATAATCCACCATTATTAAAAATACTAAAATTCATGGCTGGCAGATCAATTTCAACTCACAGCAACCCTATAGGACAGGGTAGATATGCTCCTTAGGGTTTCTGAGACGGTAAATCTTTACAGAAGCAGACAACCTCATCTTTCCCCCTCAGAGCAGCGGCTGGCTTTGAACCGCTGACTTTTCAGTTAACAGCCCAACTTTAAACCTCTGGCACCTGCCTCCTTATTATTTAAAATGCTGTTGTTAAGTGTTATTGAGTCAATTCTGATTAATAGCAACCATGTATAGGGTTTCCAAGGATTGGTGGGTGGGTTTGAACTTCCGACCTTTTGGTTAGCAGTCCAGTGCTTATGCTATGATGTTGTTATTAAGTGCCATCAAGTTGGTTGGACGCATAGCGATCCTATATAGGATTTCCGGGGAGCAGCTGGTGAGTTTGGACCTTGTGGTTCACAGTCCATTGCTGATCCTACAGCGCCACACTTGGAGTTCTGTAAGTTAAGTGCTGTTGAGTCAGTTCTGACTCATAGTGACCCTGTATAGGGTTTCCAAGGAGCGACTGGTGAGTTTGAACCACCGACCTTGTGGTTCAAACCGACCTTACAGTCCAGTGCATTAACCCACAGCACCACATTAGGAGTCCAGTATTCCTATTGTTGTTGTTGTTAAGTACCTTCTAGTCGGTTCCGACCCATAGTGACCCTGTATAGGGTTCCACGTAAATTTAAAAAAAACCAGGTGCAGTGGAGGTTCAGGGGTCTAAGTCGCGCCTTCCATAAGGGAGACCCAGGCTCTTCCCAGCCAGTGTTACTAACTGAACAGGTTTCAGCAGAGGTTGTAGACTAAAACAGACTAGGAAGAAAGACTTGGCAATCGACTTCCGAAAATCAGCCCAGGCAAACCCTGTGGATCACAGAGGTGGGATCCGACACGGATGGCGCGGGTGGCACAGGATTGGACAGTGTCTGGTTACACTGCGCAAGGGGCGGGCTCAACAAGGAATCGAAGCTCAGCTCCTAAAGAGTTCCCGCCCCTCAGCGAGGGAGATCGTGCAGAGCCCCACCTCAGCAGCTGGAAGGCCTGGCCGCTGTTGAAGGAGTGGACGCCGGTGCATTCGTCCAGGCTGTACAGCTCGAAGATGGGGATGTCGAGGCTGAGGAAGTAGTGCAGTGCATTCTCAGGAAGTCCCAGCCCCGTGTTGAAAAGCTGCCGGCATTGGTCCAGGCCCAGGAAGCGCCGGGCTGGGCGGAAGGTCAGCCTACTGGCCAGGCAGAAACACAGCGGCGGCTGGATCTGCCTTGAGACAAGAGATACGAGGAGCAGAGAGCCTGGCCTCAAACACCCATCAGCTCCCCCACGCCCCCTAGTGGCAGCCCGGGCCCCGGCCTCACCTGCTTCCTGTTGACCTGCAGCCCTAGCCTCATGGCCCACTTGTTCAGCTTCCTGCGGAACGGGGAAGCGGCCAACTGGGCCTCCCTCAACCCATCCAGCATGCGGTCCCAGACCTGAGGGACGCCGTAGAAGGTGGTGGGCCGCACTTCCCTCAGAGTGTCCAGTAGGGAGCCCTGCAAGGCAACGGACCGGTCAGTGACGGTGCGTGCCACTCCCCCCACCCCAGCTCTGTCTGGCATTCAGCGCCCCTGACTGACCATAACGGGCCCCATTCAGGTTCAGTCCTGTATTTGGTGAGTAGGGACAGCCCAGCTCCACGCGAATCCACGAGGACCATGAGCTCCAGCTACCCGTGCCGGCAGCCTGGCTCTGCTCACATGCATTTGAGGTGCAGCCAGGTGGTTGTGTATTTCTGTGACTGATGTCCACCCCCTCCCAGGAATGCTGAGTGGAGGGGAGGGTCAGTGAGGGGGAGAGGGATGCACAGAGATGGACAGAGACACAGAGACGGAGTATTTTGTATGCAGTGAGACCTTTCTGTGGGTCACATCATGGTGGACACAAGACAGGATGAACTTGTCCGAGCTGGTAGGACTACTAGGGTGGCCCATCTCCTGGGCTATGGACTCTATAGTTAGTAAGCATGCATTGTTATGCTGCCCTCTGTTGTGACCATGCAGCACAGGATCCCAAGGTGTTACCACCAGGAGATTCCCTGTGAACCTCAACATGCTCTAATTAACAAGGGGGAGAGGGAGAGAGAATAGGAGAGAGGATCCTAGAAGACAAGCTCGTTTTTACCACAGTTGCTAAGTCTTGTCAATTACAGAAAGGTCGGCAGTTTGAACCCACCAGTCGTTCTGCTGTCAGGAGAAAGAGGAGGCTATCTGCTTCCTGTCTCAGAAACCCTACATTGCCCTATAGGATGGCTGTGAGTTTGGAATCGACTAGCTGGCAGTAGGTAGGTAGGTTGTCAGTTACCAAGGAAGATTCCCCGGCAACCACAAAACTTCTGAGCTCACCGGAGGCAGCTGGGCTGTAGCAGGTCCCCAAACTCCAGCCCTGCTGTTTGGTTTTTTTTCTGCCCCTGAGCTAAGACCACTGCTGCATTTTTAAATGGTTGGGGGTGCCGGGGATGCAAGAAGAATAACACTCATGCCACATAAAAATAACGTAAAATTCCAATTTCCACATCCATCGGCACAGCTTTGCGTTTCTTTTCCCCAGTGAGAAATTTGTTCTGACTCCTGTTACTGCTGCTAGCTGCCAGCAAACTGGCCCTGGCTCATGACAAACAGAACGGATAGCTGCCTCGTTCCTGCGTCACCTGTGTGATCACTTGGGGGTCAGTCTTCTCACTGGCTGATTTTCAGAAGTCAATCGCCAGACCTTTCTTCCTGGTCTGTTCGAGTTAGGAAGTTCCTGAGTCTCATGCATACCTCCGCAGACAGACTGGTGTTGGCTGTACAGGAGAGATACTGAGCAGACCTGGCTCCTATAAAGCTCACACTTAGGAAACCCGTGAGGCAATTCTACTGCCACATGGGGTCGCTCTGAGTCAGAATTGATGACAACAGCCTCCCATGTCCTACGACATGTGCTCAGGTCAGCTCTACATCTTTGGATTACAGCTGAGGAAACTGAGACTCAGAAGGGGCAGGGCCCAGGACAAATGCCCAGTTGGAGGCAGGTCATGGAGTCCACTTGTTCACAGTAACTCCACGTGCACAGAGCAGAACTGCTCCACTGCAGTTATCGAGGCCTTTTGGCAGCAGATTGCCAGACCTTTCTTCCAATGCACCTCTGGGTGGGTTTGACCCAGGGACCTTGGATTCCATTTCTGGACTAAGCCTTCTGCTTGGGGTATCCGAAGTGGCTGCTGTCCACAGCGACTGCCAGGCTTACCCTCAGAGCGTCCGGCTGGGCAAAGTAGAGCGTCCCTCCCACTGCGATGGAGACCCACACATCAAAGAGCTGGGAGGTGATGCAGCTGAGTGGGAGGTAGCTCACAATGACCTCCTGGCCTCTGGGGGGGCAGTGGTATGGCAGGCTCTGGACAGTGGTCATGGCGGTCCAGGTAATCTGAAAGACCCCTGATCTGTTATCCCCATCCCACCCCCAGACCCCAGGTGTGATTGGCACCCCCCACCCCCGCCCTTCCTGCTGAGAGATACCCACATTGTCGTGACTGAGCATGATGACCTTCGGGGGGCCGGAGACGTTCAGCCTGTACACCAGCATGCAGCATTGGTTGGGCTTCTGAGAGTCGATGACTCTGTCTAGCACCTCATCCGAGATGCCGCCCGCCAGGTTCAGGAAGTCGGTCCACTGTGGGGAGGCCAGAGGGCTCACTGGGGCAGGAGCCAGCCCTGGAGATGCTCCCCAGAACCTCCCTCAGGCTGGGGACCTCAGTAATCAGTCTGGTGGCCTTGGCTCTGGGCTGGACCTCTCAGGGGGCTCTCACCCAGCATAGAACATGACTGAGGCCCCCATTCCTCCATGCTGCCCACCCTGGGTTTGGACGTACGGAATAGAGGTCCGGCTGCCCCATACGGATGACCTCCTTGTACTGGACAATGGCCTTGAGCTGTTTCAGGAAGCCCCGGATCTGCAGGACATGGGGATGAGGGCGAGAACCACTATCAGGTGTAGTTTCAGGCATACAGGGATGAACAGCAAGATGAGGGGCCCCAGGTGACCAGCTTTGACTCTCGTTATCCACACCATCAGTCGGTCACTGCTCATATTGATCCTATACGACAGAGTAGAACTGCCCCACATGGTTTCTGAGACTGTAAATATTTTTAGGAGCAGACAGCCTCATCTTTCTCCCAGAGAAGCTGGTGGGTTTGAACTACTGACCTTTTAGTTAGCAGTCCAATGCTTAGCCCATGGTGTCACTAAGGCTCTTAGCTTACTCCAGAGGGCGCGTACTAAAACCTATTACCATCACGTGGATTCTGACTCAGAGGAACTCTGTGAGGGGCCCTAGGAATTACCAGTCCCTGGAGAAGGATCTCATGCTTGGTAAAGTGGAGGGTCAGGGGCAAAGAGGAAGACCCCCCCCCCAAAGAAATAGATTGACACTATGCCAGCAGCAATGGACTCAAGTGTAGCAATGGTTGTGAGGCTGGCACAGGACCAGGCAGTGTTTCATTCTGTTGTACGTAGGGTCACTATGAGTCAGGACCGACTCTATGGCACCTAGCAACAACAATGGATATGCACAGCACATAATGTCGACTGCTTTTTTTGTTTATTTTTACCATTTTAAAGTACTCTTTTGTACATTTACAGTGTCTAAGAGGAACACCATATAAAAGAGATCGGTATTTAGAAAATATGGCCTTGGTGACAGAAATGATGTTGGAGTCACATGACAGAATCTTGCAAGACCAATGGCTTCTTCATTACAAATACCTTTTTTAAACAACATAAAAGACGACTATACACATGGACCTCACCAGATGGAATACACAGAAATCAAACTGTTTTGGAAGAAGTGCAGCCAGAGTGCTCCTTGGAGGCCAGGATGGCTAAGCTTCGTCTCTCCTACTTTGGACATATTGTCCGGAGGAAACAGTCGCTGGAGAAGGATGTCATGCTGGGTAAGGTGGAGGGTCAGAGAAAAAGAGGAAGACCCCTAACGAGATGGATCAGCCAGGTGGCATCATTGATGGCGTCTAGTGTGGCAGCGGTAGTGAGGTTGGCCCAGGATCGAGCATTGTTTCGTTCTGCTGTGCATGGGGTCGCTATGAGTCGGTTCTGACTCGATGGCACCTGACAACAACAACAACAACATGAGTCAGAACTGACTCAACGGCATTTAACAATAACAACAACACATAAGAGGTGATGGAGAAGAAACTCAATATCATCAACCAAAACAACACCAAGGTCAACTGTGAAACAGACCCTCAATTGCTCACTTGCAAGTTCAGGCTGAAGCTAAAGAAAATTAAAACAAGCCCACGAGAACCAAACTATGTCCTTGAGTACGTCCCACCTAAATTTAAAGATGATCTCAAGAATAGATTTGACATACTGAACTCTGATGACTGAAGACCACAAGAGTCGTGGGATGACATCAAGATCATCATACAGGAAGAAAGCAAAAGGTCACTAAAAACACAGGAAAGAAATAAACTACCAACCAAAGTGGATGTCAGAAGAGACTCTGAAACTTGCTATTAAATCTAGAGAAGGTAAAGTAAATGGAGGAAATGATGAAGTAAAAGAATGGAACAGAAAATTTTCAAAAGGACAGCTTGGTAAGACAAAATCAAGTATTATAATGAAATGTTCAAAGACCTGGAGGTAGAAAACCAAAAAGGAAGAACACGCTCAACCTGAAAGAACTAAAGAATACTTGAAGCTTGACTTGCAATATTAAAGGAGTAGGTATGGATTGAGCCTCAATGTAAAGAAAATGGAAATCCTCACAACTGGACCAATAAATAACATCATGATAAACAGAGAAAAGATTGAAGTTGTAAATTGCATGCATCATCAAAAAGAACTTACCAAGATCTGTCTTGAAGTACAACGCTGTCTGTGATAGGGTAATATTCACACACCTATAAGGAAGACCAGTTAATATCACTATTATTCAAATTTATGCACCAACCACTAAATCCAGTAATGATGAAACTGAAGATTTCTACAAACTTCTTCAGCCTGAAATTCATTAAAGATGCAATCAAGATGTACTGATAATTACTGGAAACTGGAAAGAAAAGGGTGGAAACAAAGAGGAAGGATCAGTAGTTAGAAAATATGGCCTTGGTAATAGAAACAATGTTGGAGATCACATGATAGAATTTTGCAAGACAGATGACTTCTTCATTGCAAATATCTTTTTAAAAGATATACCTCAAATATTCTCAACAGATGAAATACACAGAAATTAAATTGACTACATCTGTGGAAAGAGATGGTAGAAAAGCTCCCTATCATCAGCCAAAACAAGACCAGGGGCAGACTGTGGAACAGACCATCAATTGTTCACAAGCAAGTTCAGGCTGAAGCAGAAGAAAATTCAAACAGGTCCACAAGGGCCAAAATATGACCTGGAACGTAGCCCACTTGAACTTAGAGATCATCTCAAGAACAGATTTGATGCATTAGACACTAATGACCGAAGACCAGAAGATTTGTGGGATGACATCAAGAACCTCATAGTGGAAGAAAACAAAAAGCCATTAAGAAGACAAGGAAAAAGGAAAAGACCAAAATGGATGTCAGAAGAGACGCTGAAACTTGCTCTCCAGTGTTTGTTGTTGTTGTTGTGAGGTGCCATCGAGTTGCCAACCCATAGCGACCTTATGCACAGCAGAGTGAAACACTGCCCGATCCTGGGCCAACCTCACTACTGTTGCCACGCTTGAGTCCATCGATGCTGCCACTTGGCCAATCCATCTCGCTGGGGGTCTTCCTCTTTTTCTCTGACCCTCCACTTTACCAAACATGAGATCCTTCTCCAGTGACTGGTCCCTCCTGACAATATGTCCAAAGTATAAGAGATGAAGTTTGACCATCTTGGCCCTAACGATTACTCTGGCTGCACTTCTTCCAAAACGTATCTATTGCTGTCCAGTGTAGAGATGCTAAAACAAACGAATGAAATGAGGAGATAAAGAGCTGAACAGAAAAATTCAAAGGGCAGCTCAAGAAGATAAAGTAAAATATTATAATGAAACATGCACTATTCTGTAGTTAGGAAACCACAAGGGAAGAACACTCTCGGCATTTCTTAGACTGAGGGAACCGTAGAAAAAATTCAACCCTCAACTTGCAATATTGAAAGATTTTAAGGGCAAAAATTTGAATGATGTAGACAGCATTAAAAGAAGATGGAAGGAATAAACAGAGTCACTGTACCAAAAAGAAACGGTCCATGTTCAACCATTTCAAGAGGCAGCATATGATCAAGAGCCAATAATACTGAAAAAAGTCCAAGGTGCACTGAAGGCATTGGCAAAGAACAAGGCCCCAGGAATTGATAGAATACAAATTGAAATCTTTCAGCAATCTGATGCAGCACTGGAGGCACTCACTCATCTTTGCCAAGAAATTTGGAAGGCAACTACCTGGCGGCCAACTGGTTGGAAGAGATCCATATTTGTGCCCATTCCAAAGAGAGGACAATATCACTCATATTCCATGCAAGTAAAGTTTTACTAAAGATAATTCAAAACCAGCTGCAATAGTACATTGATAGGGAACTGCCCAAAGATCAAGCCAAATTCAGACAAAGACATTTAATTAGAGATATCAAGGAGCTCTGGTAGCGTAGTGGTTACAAATCGGGCTGCGAACCTCAGGGTCAGCAGTTCGAAACTACCAGCTGTTTCACGGGAGAAAGATGAGGCTTTCTGCTCCCGTAAAGATTGACAGCCTCAGAAACCCTGTACAGGGTCGCTATGGGTCGGAACCGACTCCACGGCACATAACAACAACAACAACATTGCTCATGTTAGATGGATCTTGGCTGAAAGCAGAGAAGACCAGAAGGATGTTTACCTGTGCTTTATTGACTATGCAAAGGCTTTCAGTTGTATGAATCATGACAAGCTATGGACAGTATTGCAGAGAATGAGTATTCCGGAACACTTAAATGTTCTCGTGAGGAACCTGTACATAGACCAAGAAGCAGTCATTCGAACAGAACAAGGGAATAATGAATGGTTTATAATTAGAAAAGGTGCCCACCAGGGTTGTATTCTTTTACCATACAACCTAGATTTATTAAATCACCATAGATTTATTCAATCTATATGCTGAACAAATCATTCAATCGACATGCTGAGAAGCTGGATTATATGAAAACGTGAAATCAGGTTTAGAGGTAGACTCATTAACAACCTGTGATATGCAGATGATACAACCTTGCTTGCTGAAAGTGAAGAGAACTCAAAACACTTACTACTGAAGATCAAAGACCACAGCCTTCAGTATGGGTTGCACCTCAATGTAAAGAAAACAAAAGTCCTCACTACTGGACCAATAAATACCATCCATATAAATGGAGAAAGGATTGAAGTTGTCAAAATTCTTATTTTGCTCAAATCAGCAATCAACACTCATGGAAACAACTGCCAAGAAATCAAAAAACATATTGCATTAAGCAAATTTGCTGCACAAGACCTCTTATAAAGATGTCAGTTTGAAGACTAAGGTGCACCTGCCCCAAGCCATGGTATTTTCAGTAACCTCATATGCATGTGAAAGCTGGACAGTGAATAAGGAAGAATTGATGCATTTGAGTTATGGTGTCGGAGGAGAACATTGAAAGTACCATGGACTGTCACAAGAACACATAAATCTATGTTTGAAGAAGTACAGCCAGAATGCTCCTTAGAAGCTAGGATGGCCAGACTTCGTCTCTCATATTTTGGATATGCTATCAGGAGGGACCAGTCCCTGGAGAAAGATATCATGCTTGGTAAAGTGAAGGGTCTGAGACAAAGAGGAAGACCCCCCCCAACAAGATGGATTGGCACAGTGGTAGCAGCAATGGGCTCAAGTGTAGCGATGATTGTGAGGCTGGGGCAGGACCGGGTGGAGCTTCATTCTGTTGTGTACAAGGTCACTATGAGTTGGTACCTA